TTCTATAATAGAAAAATTGGCCCGAAGACCTGTCTGCAAAAGTTTTAGCCCTGCATATGTTTATGGCAGTTATAAATCCCTAATATGAAGTTATAATGGAACTACTGATCTATTTTAACTGTAGTGACGTGGTTAGCACAGCTAGAATATATGTTCAGGGAGCTGGTTGTAAAGTTCCTTCATGCACTGAAGCATATTAAATTCTTGGCACAGAAGATGGTAGCAAGTAGATAGCTGGATTGAATTTATTCACTGTCATCGCCATCTTGATGTGAAATCCACAATGGCTGCATTATATGAAGGTGAAGCAACAGCAGCAACTTGTTATATCAAAGTATCTGAACAAGTTTTACCCTGCAGCTAAGTAACAAGTATATGGTACTTAGCTGTAAAGCTGCATAATATGCCCTCTAACGGGTTACAAGAAATCAGGGTTCCAGCTCTGAAAATACTTATTGAGTATAACAGCACAAGACACTTTCCAAAAATTCCACATCAGCCTAAAGTAAGCCATAGCTTGTTCTCCTCTGTATTTCTACTTCTCGCCTCCTTGCTCTAGTTTTTCCCATGATAGAAGTTTACAGGATATATTCTCTTCTGAGTTAAACTGGAGTAACTGCACTGACACCAGTCTAACTCAGCTGAGAGTACAACTTGGCCCAATATGTACTGTGAGGCAAATTTGATTCTTGCCAGGAAGAGATTAAGGTAAATCAGTGTTACAATACATTGATTTACTCCAGTGACGCAACATTTTTTGAAGAGCCGCATTTGGATAGGCCTAAATCCTGGGAGGTACTGAGCTCTTTCAACCCTTATTCATTTCAATGGGAGTTGGGGCTTTTAGCACATTGTTACCTTGTACAGATATTGGATTTACTCCTATATATTTCAAATGTTTATATTTATCTAAAAACATTTCAACTTCTTTTAGAAGTCATACTAAGTAATCTACTGAATTTTTGGTAAAATAGACCAATACTATTAACTATTTTTTGAAGGTAGCTTTTTTCCGCTACACAAATTAGGTCTCCTCATCCATAGTGAGAGCAGAATGTTTCTGGTGACCATGAAAGCACCAATTTTGGACTTAACGGTTCACTGAGAAACCAAAGAGAAGTTCACCCAATAGAACCATTAGTAGTTAGGTCCTGTTTTCACTAACCAGGCAATGGCAACTCGTGGGAGAGGCACAAAAGGTCAAGTGATCCTCCAGTAGGATCAGGTGCCCCCAGCAGCCGGCCTGGGGTGGAGAGAGGAAGGGGCAGTGTCAGAGCCAGAAGGGAAGAGGTGGGGCCAGAGCCTCTCCTCTTCCAGGCACCCTGCCCAGTGCAGCACAGCAGCTAACTGGGAGAGTGCCTGGCTGCGACAGCAGCAGGCTGCCCCCCCGCCCAAGCTCAGTTTCTGGGGAGAGTGGCCAAGCAAGCCAGAGCCACCTCCCAGCATGCTCAGAGTCAGGTCCTGTCCCCCAGGAGCTGAGCAGCGACTAGTGATTTTGGGTGTCCAAGTACAAACATGTTAAAGGGCCCTGATTTCCGGAGCCACTTCCT